TAAAAAAGAAAAAAAAAAAAACAAACAGATGAATGGATTAGTCTGCTAGGGCTGCCATAATAAAATACCACAGACTGGGTGGTTTAAACAACACGGATTTGTTTTCTCACACTTCTAGAGGATGGAAGTCCAAAACCAAGGTGCCAGCAGGTTTGGTTTCCCCTGAGTCCGCTCTCCTCGGCTTGCAGGTGGCCTCACGTGGTCTTTCCTCTGTCGATGCACATTCCTCATGTACCTCTGTGTCCAAATTTCCTATTCTTATAAGGACACCAGTCAAACTGGACTAGGGCCCACCCTAACAGCCTCATTTTAACCTATTACTGCTTTAAAGGCCCTATTTCCAAATACTGTCACATTCCACAGAACCAGGGACTGGGCCTACAACACATAAGTTTGAGGGGGTGCACAACTCAGCGCATAACAATGACTCACAAAACAAAGTTATTTTTGAATTTCAAAACTACCCCAGAGTATGGGCACACACCCTACCGTGTCATACCCTTTTTTAGTGACTGTGTGGCAGCATTTCTCAGGTGAAGGAACAGGGAGTATAAAGGACAGATCCTTTTAGCATTAGCCTTATTTATACCATCTGCCCTTCCGGACAAAGTACAGTGGGAAAAATCAAAACAAGAAACCCCCAGGCCCTTGTAAGTAAAGTCTAAATGGCCTAAGTGTGCACCTTTATTAAGAAAAAAAAAAAAAAGCATTCATTTTTCAGGACTCATATTTATTTTTGTGTTTACAGGAAATATGATTTCACTTTTATCATTTTATTTTATGTTATTTTATTTTATTTTTGGCTGTATTGACATAAATATTCACATAGGAAGTCAGAGTGCGATTCAAAAAAAAAAAAAACCACGACAATTTCTTCCACTTACCGACCATTTGCTTGGACAATGGTGGGTGAGGTGGGGAAGAGGGTGGGGAGGTGTATATTAAGGATGCCCTTTGACCCTTGATCGAGCCCCCTAATGGTGACAAGGCAGAGGATTGTAGCCCAACCATTGCCAGTCTGAAAGGACTCACTCAACTTGATCCACAATGTACAAAAGATAAAACATAGTTTAACAACACTTCTAATGCTTCAGGTGTACAAGGTGTGACTGTAAGTGAGGAAGAGACCATGGAAACCCAGCACCTGCAGGTTTTGAGGTTTCTCACCCTCCTGTGCTGCACCCATCACGTTCTCCTTTTCAAGAGTTACAGCAGAAAGAAAAAGCTAGTTCTTCATCCTGAACTCTCAAAGTCTTGCTTTCTTCCCTCACCCACTGCCCTGGCTTGGGAAATTTAAAAAAAAATAAAGCGAAGGAGCAGCTTTTCCTCTGTCCCTTCATCCTAAGTTAGTTTTTCAGTTTTACGTTTCCTAATCCTTCCATGGTCCACTGCATTTTTAGGAATAGAAGTCATGCTCAGCTTAGCTCAGATTGGAGGGGAAAGGGGTGGAGAAAGACAGAGGGGCATTGACCTCAGGAGAAGGAGGGAAAGCAGGGGGGAAAGAGGGTGTGCAAGAGCAGAGCAGGAAGAAGGACAGAGGGATGAACAAGGGAGGGATCCCTCCTCTTGAACCAGTGGGTCCCTGGGCATCCATATGGCTGAAGCCAGAAGTCCACCACATGGAGACACCAAAGGTTTAAAATGTCTCATTACAATCCATTCTCACAAATCTCAAAAAAAGAAAAAGTAAGAGGAAAAAAAAAAAGGGAAAGAAAGAAAGAGAGAAAGAAAAAAGAGGAAGAAGGAAGTAGAGGAATGAATGAATGAATGAATGAATGAAGCATGCCAGTGTCCCTAGGTATGTGTCCCATTTTTCCTCTTATCAAAGACTCCACATCTCAGTTCTGTCAAATCTGAAGCTACAGGGAGGAGGGGAGGGGGGGAAGTGGCTAATCCTGAAACAGTCTGCCCACGTGTAAAGTGTTGGTCTGGCTCCTATCAATAAGTGACTCCTGTGTCTATTAGTTCTCACTTTCGTGGTACTTCTCCAGCTTTCTATACACCTCACATCACCGTAGGTTTTTGATACCTATCAGCAACCCTCTGTAAGAGACAAGGATAGCGTGGTGGGGTGTGGAGCTAATGATGCCATTTGTAATGCCTGTGTGATGAAGGAATGAAGGAAATTTGCTTCCCAAATGACAACACAGAGTTTACCTACACACTACCTAAGCGCATAATAAAAACACTTACAATTCTCTTAAACCCAGGTACATTCAGCTTCGTGTAAGAGACGGCTTTATACCCAAGGAACGATTTTGAGGAGAGAAGGCAGTTCTACAGTTGGTGTTAATTCCTCTTTATATTTCCACTTTCCAGGTGTAATAATACCAACGTATTTCTGGGGGGTGATTGAGTTTCCAGGGCACTTTGCGTTATAGGCTTTACAGAGCAAACCTCCAAGGTGAGCAAGGAAGCATTATTAGCCCACATTCAGAGATGAAGAACAATAGAAATAACAAAGTGAAAACGCATATATTGTTTGGAAAATCCGACATCTGAGTTTGCCACAGACAAGGCTTTGTGTCTTTAAATAAGCTGGGTAAAATGTGTAATCTCCTCATCCACTTTTTCAATTATAAAAACAGACAAAATGCCTCCTACTTTGAATGTTACAAGGTGTAAATGAAATATATGTAAAAGAGTTATTTCATAATAATTTTCTTTCTGATGCTTAAAAATCCTTCTCAAAGAAGAAGTAGGTCAAACAAGTCCAAAATTCAGAACTTCTGCTTCTTATTTAGGTGTTTGTTCCCTCCAACCAGCCTACACTATACAGATTAATGATGCTCACATCCAAGGAAATTATTGACTTTTTCCCTAAGTAGTTGCAGCCTGAATGTCTTAAGATGCCTTGGTCTCCATAAAAATGGTTGTTCTGAACAGGACACTATCTCTCTACATGAGGGCTCTGCCTGTGTGGATGGGGAGATAGACAAGGAAACAAATAATTGCTAATAATTACCGTGGAAGACCTAACACCTAACGGCCTTCCATGTGGGTCACCTGGACCATGGCAGTCAGCCTATCTTACATCTGTTTTCTCATGACCAGGTGTCTAGTATGTGAGCTTACCTCCTCACTGTTGAGTACCCACTAACAGTTTCAAAGAAATTAAGAATCTATCCCCCCCAAAAAATACAAATTCACTTGAAGAACAACATTTTTCCTAGCATTTATTTCAGAATAAATATCTAATATTGATCCTTAGGCCAGGGTTAACATGATCACATAACACTGTCATATAGTTTTCAACTATGGTTTCTCAGAACACAGGGAAATGATCTATACGTGAATACCTCAGATCATCAGTCTAGAAAAGCCAGAAATATTTGCAAAAGGAGCCAAAATAGTTCTATATAACCTTTCTTAGCTTTCACAATCTGACACTGAAGTTGGTTATTTAATAGAGAAACTCAATTTAGCAGGAAAATTATGCATATGAATTTGATTATTATTCTTTCAAAGTAGGATCAAGGTAATTTCTTTGAATTAAAGTCTGTCCCTTTCTAACAAAGAATGTATGTAAATGATACCCGGGATGCTTCCTTTGATTTTCATTTTTCCTTTTATATTCCTCTTTTCTTTAATTTTTTTTTTCCCTGAGTGGAGAGAGAACTTAAAGCACTTTCAAATCAATCTAGCATAGACAAGTTTGGAGGGAAAAAAAACCCTACAACTGACTTTTGGTAAGGAATCACTCACAGGTGTGAGTAGATCAAGAGCAGCTTGCGAGTTACAAGCATCCTGCATTCTATGGGCATCAGTTAATATGTATTTTCAAGGGAAATGAGGAATATTGGTCAATTAAGGAGTAAATTAAGTGGACACCAGTTGAGAGAGCTTCTACTATATCCCCTATGTCTATTGATAATTCCAGGACGTCTCCCAAAAAACATTAAAAATGTATAGTTAACAACATTTTTTGCATTGTCTCTATCAAAGACCAATATCTCAAGCAAAATCAGAGTTGAATTCTCTGATGAGGTTTTAAGCACTAATATTTTGTATTGTTGCTTGTAGTGAGATCCTCATGTTTAAGACATCTGAGCCTCATGCATGTATACTTGTTCAATGGAGGAACATTTTTTCCCTAAAAATAGGATGCAAGTTTGCTTTGGGTAGGCCCAAACAGTTTCTTAAAAAAGAAAGAAAGAAAAGAAAGAAAGAAAGAAAGAAAGAAAGAAAGAAAGAAAGAAAGAAAGAAAGAAAGAAAGAAAGAAAG